GGGGAACTATTGCTTGTTGTGTAGCATTTTGATTTTCTTTTATCTTTTAAACACTGACAAAGCAGGACTCCCGAAAGGAAGATGGAAAATTGAAGGCTTCAGAAGATGAACTAACATGCAGCATTTGCTTGGAGCAAGTCAGCAGAGGCGAGTTCATTGGGGAACTATTGCTTGTTGTGTAGCATTTTGATTTTCTTTTATCTTTTAAACACTGACAAAGCAGGACTCCCGAAAGGAAGATGGAAAATTGAAGGCTTCAGAAGATGAACTAACATGCAGCATTTGCTTGGAGCAAGTCAGCAGAGGCGAGTTCATTCGCAGTTTGCCTTGTTTGCATCAGGTTTACCCTCTGAAAATACAAAATAAATTCAAAAATCTTTTCGAAATGTTTCCTTTCTTTCACATCAGTACCAGACTCCCCAAGTTCCAACTTCGTGAGATTTATGCTGCTCCATGTAATGTCTGGCTTCGTTTCAGTTTGATACCATTTCTTCTGGTTATTTAATTTGTAGTAATTTTCTTATGCAGTTCCATACCAATTGCATTGACCCGTGGCTGCGCCAACAAGGCACGTGCCCGGTATGCAAATTCAGGGTGGGGTCAGGATGGCAAGAAAACAGAGAGAGCGATTCAGATGGTTCAGACATGGTTTGACATTTCGTAGATTTAATGTGTTGTATCTATCAATGATGTATATATCTGATTAAAGAACTTGTGCACTTGTATATAGCCTGTAAGTTGATTTGGTTTTTATCCAATTGGATTGAGTATTAAGAGAATGAATTGCATTGTTTGTTTGTTTGTTTGTTTTCTCAATAAATAAACAAACAAATGAACGAGTTGTGTTGTTTATAACTCGATGTGTTTAAAGGACGTGCCCAACACTTATTACTCCAAAGTTGTGGCTGTTGCTGCTGTTTGATTGAGATAGAATGCCTGCCGGTTGCCAGCCATATTTTACTCTGGCTTTTTTAAAGCGCAAGTTTTTTTTTTTTTTTCTTTTTTCTTTTTTAATCAAAGCAAGTCGGGGAGTTATAAACTTTTATTAAAAGAAAAGGAAAATTACATCGGAAAAGAGAAAAACAACAAAATCAAGTCATGAACCTTTATCTTGTGAAAAAGCGCAAGTTACACTCATTTGTAAGGCTAATATTGCGCTTGTGAAACCTTAAAGCTCTATCTCTTTATTTATTTATTTACTTTCAAGGTGTATCACATAATACATTTCGTCCCGGTCAAACAATGCTTTGGGGTAGATTCAATTAATTCTCAAAAGAAAGCGAATGTTTTTTTTTTTTTTTAAATTGATTTTCTTCTATTTATTCACATGTAATGATTGACCATGGTCCATGGGCGACTAGGTAGTGCCTCATCTCTATATATTAAGGAAAAAGACAAGAGAGCTCATCTATGAATGAGCATTTTTCGGATGAAAAATTGCAAAGACCACTTCTATATAATTATTCGTTCGATTTTGATTTGTGGTGTAATTCAGCTGGGGTACAGAACAACATATCGTAACAAAGCTGCATTGAGCTCCCCGGCTCTCCCTAAACAAGTTGTGTAGTACAATTACTACAATCCTCTAAAGTCAAACTTGTACTGCAAAGAGAAAAATGCAAATGCAAATTTAAATTGTTATGTTACACCTATTTTTGTGAAGCGGTCATAACTAATCCTTAACTTAGACCACACAAACACCAATCCTACACCACAGGAACCAATTAACTTAGCATCCTCTTTTTTCAATAGCCACCATGACTCTCAAGTCAACCTCTTTTTTCCTATCTCTGATTCTATTGCTGCTAGCCTTCCTAGTCAACGGCCACGGAGGCGATCACGACGACGACGAGAGCACCGGCGACGACCACGGAGACTTGCACAACAAAGGGTTGATTCTGGTGAAGCTATGGTGTTTGATCATTCTGTTGGTGAGCACCTTCGCGGGTGGCGTGTCGCCATACTTCCTCCGATGGAACGAGAGCTTTCTTCTCCTCGGCACGCAATTTGCGGGCGGGGTCTTTCTAGGAACTTCTTTGATGCATTTCTTGAGCGATTCGAATGAGACTTTCGGCGACCTCACCCACAAAACATACCCTTTCGCCTTCATGCTTGCGTCGTCCGGTTATCTCCTGACCATGCTTGGAGACAGCATAATTCTCTTGGTGATCAAGTCTAATGATAGAGAAGCAAGAGTGGAAATCGAAGAAGGAAGAAGTAGTGATCATGATAAAGAGGCAGGCACGGGCGTGACGCCGCTTTTTATGCAGACGGCGTCTTTAGGGGACACCATACTTCTCATCCTCGCGCTCTGCTTTCATTCTGTTTTTGAGGGCATTGCCATTGGAATTGCAGGTAATGACATGACTAATATTTTGCATTGTTGATCTTCTTGTTTAGGTTTTGGTTTCCTAGGATTTTGCGTTGTTGAAATAATTTGCAAATTATATGCCTTTTGGTGTTCTCAATCTAGACCTGGTCCACTCATGTTTTAGCATGTCATCATATAATGCTTTCTTGTAGTATAATTATTTGTGTTTTGCCCATTTGTCGGCCTCTTATATATATATATATATATATATATATATAACTTAAAGAGATATTTTATGGTTATTAAAATTTTGACACGTCTGCGTGAGGTTAAAACCTGGTCATGACAAATAGAAATGCATGTCGAACACAATGGTTTAACAACCTTTTAACTTAGGCCTCTGACTCTCCAACTAATATTGTCTTGAGCTTATCTATTCAAGTTAGCATTTTTTTGTCCTTTCATTTTAGTGGCCTCTATTACATCATCCGCCAAATAAGTTTGGTTGCCCACTATTTAATTCGCAGTTTTCTTTTCGTACCAACAACCTTTGTTATATAGAGGATCTCGTCGTTCAGATTTTCCTACAAAATTTTCCCTTTTGAAAGGTAAAAAAAAAGAGGAGGAAATCCTAGTTTTCATGTACTACTAAATGTCACGTTTATTTTTTAGTATGGCACAAAATCATACAACTTTGTTCACGTATATATACTAAGATCTAAAAAAAACGGAGGGGCTCCAATTTTCACAAGAATAAAAATTTTCAGATTAAAGAAAACTAATTAAAGAGCCATATGGTTGAAACTAGAAAACACCTCACATGATTATGCTGCATCTTTGTATTACTCATGGTTCTTGAGCTGCTGAATGTACACAATTAATAATTAGCAGTCCGGTGTACTAATTCTCACCAAATATATATGAATTGTGGTGCATATCCTTTTGGTCAGATAACAAGGCAGAAGCATGGAGGAATCTGTGGACAATATCTCTGCACAAAATATTTGCAGCCATAGCAATGGGCATTGCGCTGCTGAGGATGCTACCAAAGAGGCCATTACTCGTGACTGCAGCCTACTCTTTCGCGTTCGCAATTTCAAGTCCGGTCGGAGTAGGCATTGGCATCGCCATTGACGCCACAACTCAAGGAGCTGTCGCCGATTGGATATATGCCATCTCAATGGGACTCGCTTGTGGGGTCTTTATCTATGTTGCAATTAACCATCTTATTGCCAAAGGTTTTAAGCCCCAATCCAAATGCCATTTCGACACACCCTTCTTCAAGTTTCTTGCCGTTCTTCTTGGGGTTGGAGTTATTGCCGTTGTTATGATATGGGATTGATTGTATTCTAATTAAGAAAGTCTTTCGTTTATTACTTAAGTCTTTGTGTAATTACATGTAGTAAGGATGAGATGGATAATACGTCATACATGTTTCCCAAGACTTAAGGACAATGCTTGAGTAGTATGAATCATTTTTCCTTCTCTATTTTTTATTTTTTATTTTTAAAATAGCTTTGAATGTTTCCAATCTTAGATTGTTGCTTCACGTTTTGGTTAAAGATAGTTAATAGGTTCAAGGGTATTTTTGTCAAAACATGATTAATTTCATTATATTCTAAATTCATTCCATAACTCCAACTAAATTAAAGAATTAATATTTATTTTCAATACATTTCTATTTCATTCCATTCTCATTACTATTACCGCCAATGCAACCAAACGCACTCTAAGTTTCCTCTCTTCTCCCTATCCCTTATTTATTTACTTTTAAGGTGTATGACATAACACATTTTGTCCCGACCAAACGATGCTTTGGGGTTGATTCAATTAATTCCCAAAAGAAAGCGAATGTTTTTTTTTTTTTTAAATTGATGTTCTTCTATTTATACATGTAATGAATGACCATATATATAACTTAAAAAGGTATTTTATAGCTATAAAAATTTTGTCACGTCTGCGTGAGGTTAAAACCGGGCCATGACAAATAGAAATGCTCGTCGAACACAATGGTTTAACAACCTTTTAACTTAGTCCTCTGACTCTCTAACTAATATTGTCTTGAGCTTATCTATTCAAGTTAGCATTCTTGAGCTGATGAATTTACACAATTAATAATTAGCAGTCCGGTGTACTAATTCTCACCAAATATATATGAATTGTGGTGCATATCCTTTTGGTCAGATAACAAGGCGGATGTATGGAGGAATCTGTGGACAATATCTCTTCACAAAATATTTGCAGCCATAGCAACGGGCATTGCGATTCTGAGGATGCTACCAAAGAGGCCATTACTTGTGACCGCGGCCCACTCTTTCGTGTTCGCAATTTCAAGCCCGGTCGGAATAGTCATTGGCATCGCCATTGACGCCACAACTCAAGGAGCTGTAGCCGATTGGATATATGCCATCTCAATGGGACTCGCTTGTGGGGTCTTTATCTATATTAACCATCTTATTGCCAAAGGTTTTAAGCCCCAATCCAAATGCCATTTCGACACACCCTTCTTCAAGTTTCTTGCCGTTCTTCTTGGGGTATTGCCGTTGTTTTGATATGGGATTGATTGTATTCTAATTAAGAAAATATTTTGTTTATTACTTAAGTCTGTATGTAATTACATGTAGTAAGGATGAGATGGATAATACATCAAACATGTTTCCCAGGACTTAAGGACAATGTTTGAGTAGTATGAATCATTTTGTATTCTCTAATCTTTTTATTTTTTTTATTGGCCATTAAGATAAGTCAACTTATCTGTTCTTGTAACATAGAGTTGTTTAATTTTTGTCGAGAACTAATATTATAGATATATTTAGGAATGTGACAATTTTCACTTATTTTTTATGTGCATCTTTATCACTTATTTTATATGCATCTTCTTTCTTTGATGCAAAAAGAATGTGTTTCTTTTAAGCTATTAGTGCTCTTTAAACATACGTGCCTGTGTATAAATAATGATTTAGCTCTTATAAATCAGAATTCTTGAACTCGTCATTCCAAGAATGTAGGACGCTTATTAAACCTCCCCTAATTGAATCTGGTACATTTGCCAGCCCTTGGTCTTGAATCCAGCTTTTTGTGTCCTTTGAAGCATCTAATTCGTTGGTTGCTACATGTAGCTTGGGACCTTGTTATAACAAAAGTTGTGACTTGTGGATGGGATTTTTTTTAAATGGATGGGATAAGTTAAGATCATGCGTTTGTAATTTTGGACATAATCTTTTTAACCTTAAAGAAAAAATTAGGATCGTGTGTGCATGGGAATTGAAATTTTATTCTACGTAGCTTTGAGAACGTAAACATATAATTTTGACCAAAATTAGGGATCAGGCACTCCATTAACTTGTTTAAAATATTTATTATTATTAGTTTTGGTACGTGTGATGCACGTTTTGAGTTGTAATAATAGTTTTTATAATATAGAAAACAACAATACGCATGTGAAAAAAATAGAAGAAACATTTAAATTAGAGATCAAAGAGTATTAGATTCAATGATAGCGAGAGTATCATAAGGGAAATTACACACCTAATTCCATTTGAAGATATAGAGTTTGAATCCCCCAAACAAGAGTACTATACATTAATGATAATTTAAGCAAAAGGGTAAATTTAATAAAAAAAAAAACATGAAACATTCTAAATTATCATATGACAAAATTAAAAATAAAGTAATTGAAACTTAAAAAGTAAAGAAAAAATTGAGGAAAAAATCAAAAATTTAGAATGACATAAATAAAAATAACAGGCATGCGTTAAAACTATGACAGATCATGTACTTTTCTTTATTTTAAATGTTTGAAAGTAAAAGAAAATAGGAAACAAATTTTGGGTCGTTTTGAACGACCAAGAAGTGAACGATAGAGCCAAGAACGACTCTTTATATACGTAGGATACAATTAGTTTTGCTTCTCATTATACTTTATTATTTCTTTTTTTTTACTTGTACCCATTATTTCAAATTTAAGCAAAATAAACAAATAATAGGGCACACAACTATCTAAGTTTATATTTTTTTTAGCAAGAACATGTATTAATAAACAAAATAAAAGAAAAGATAAATTGTAAAAAATTAGTATTTATTGCACTATTGATTTAGATCTAATTTTTGTGCAATTATTTCAAGTCACTGGCGGAGCTGTGTTAGGCCTAGTGGGAGCAACTGCCACAACTGAGTCCAAAGACTTCTTTCATAATTTTGCCTCAATACTTAAATTTGTGACATTTTTCTCCTTATTTGCCCCGACTCAAATTTGTTAATTGTCATTTTTTCATAGTTTTTTTTTTAAAGAAATCAACTATACTATAATATAAATATACAAGTTTTTAGACTTCAAATATTAAATTTTACTCTATTAATTCTAAAGAAAAAGCTAACTTTATTAGAAGCTTAATTCATTTAGCACAAAAGTTTAAATTTTACTCTATTAATTCTAAAGAAAAAACTAACTTTATAAGAAGCTTAATTCATTTAGCATAAAAGGAAGAAAATAAATAATAAAAGTAAAAAATTACTGCATTAAAATTTTAGTTTAATCACGCTCTACTGAACAAAATAATTCCCGACTTTGCCGCTATTTCAATTTGCAAAGGAAGCAAAAGATGCTTTCCACTTGGCTGGTCATGTGTTTAATAGGAATGAGTGAGAATAGGGAAGAGACAAGGTTCTCCAACAAAACACAAAACTGACCCCACGGTTCCCAATCCCATTCGCCTAGCTTCCCATGAGATGCGGCGTTTCCTTTGATCAATTGCGGATAAATAGTAAGGCCTCGTTTATTTTGCGGATTTGAGTTTTCAATTTGAGTTAAGATGTGACAGTTTTTGAGAGTTTTTAATTATAACAGAAAAAATTAAATGTGACATTTTCTGAAAGCTTTTGACAGTAGAAACTTAAAACTGAAAACTTGAGGAGACTAATTTCTAGGCATGACATAGAGAATTAATATTGCAGCGGATAGTTGCAATATAAATTACAACTTGATTGCATTTTGTCCAGAAAAAAATAACATTTTGATACGAGAAAGGGAATACAATAGTTGTCTCTTTCAGAAGGTTATGCGTTATGACTTGCTGAACTACGAGCTATTGAGAATTGATTTTGTTAGATCTAATGGTACGTCTGGTGTTTCAGATGATATTGGAACACTGTCTGGAACACGGCTTAATTAATTAAGATCCGGGTTAATTACGTACAGTCGCTCGAGCAAAATAAAGTGTAAAAAATAAATAAACACACAATATGATATCGCAGTTCGGTGTGCACACCTACATCTACGGGGCCACACCCAGACAATAAATAGTTCACTATGTTTCAGAATTACAGACACTAGACGGACTTATTCACTTAAGGACTCCCTCATAGACAATGACGCCATTGTGACAAATCTCCACAGTGATTGTTTAGCATACACCACTCATCTTCTATTCACCTAATGAACTCCCTTCGACTGACAGAGTTTCCTCCCGAAAGTAACAAATCCCTCTCCCGAAGGACGATATCAATAACTCATAAAAACTTACAGACGTCTCTATGAATATTTTCTCTATAATAAGCTCTCAAATTGAGAGACTTTTCCTCTAGAGATATTCTATAAAATCCGTACCACAAATGAGCATCCTAGAGCCGTTTATATAGAACTTGTACTCCACGACAACCTCAAATAACTTCATCAATATCTAATAATTATCTTCTCTTTAACCAACTGCTCTATCCTAATATTTTCTTCAATTATCCCACGTTTGCAGCACTAACTTTATTCTTCAAATATAATTCAAACTTCAAATCTCCATGCGCATCTTCACTATCTCCACATGCACAATATCTTCACAATGGCTTAGTTATCACATTGGCTCTATGTGGATAACATCACGTAATGCAAGCCACTTTGAATTTCAAACATCACCCAAATTCCAAATGCCCAATATATATATATATATAGATTTTTCTCTTGCCAAATCAATCTTCCATTGTAATTCGAATTCAATTCAAATTCGAATCCAATCAAAAGCCAAAAACCGGATAATCATCATAATAAAATCTCCACATAATCTATTTTATCCTTATCTCTTTCTAGAATCCCATTTAAATTTAAATAACCAAAGCCTTATCTTCCGTTGACGAGGGTCTTATCCTTATCTCTCTAAATCTCAACTCAACAAAATCTGTAACTTTAACTTCAAATCTTATTTCGAATCTTCTTCTGCAATACAAAATCTTCTTGAACCTATTTTTTTGAATTTTTACAAGATTGCCAATAAATTGCCAACTAATAAAAATACCTAACAATCTCCCCCTTTGGTATTTTTTTGGCAAAACTAACAAGAGATCCAAAAAAATTCAAAAACGATAAAAAAATATAAAATTATTACATTGTTCTCCCCCTTTTTGACAAAAACAACCCAAAGACAAAAAAATAAAAAAAAAATCACACCCTAGACACGTCTTTAGCAGCGGATGTCGTAGATCATGTTGTAACACTTGTTGGAACATTCTGTGCAACACTTCGTACTAGATATCTACAAACACATTGATCTCTGTAGCTCACTCCCTCTGAATCTTCTCTGTGTCTTACTCCCCCTGAATGTAGCATTCTCCCATGTGTAATGCTCTTAACACCTGTCAATCACTTAGTGCAACCAGCATCACTACACCCACGCATGCTATTAAAGAAGTATAAGCCTTATGATACCTCAAAGCAGATTTCCTTACCTATACACGTCTAGAGAAATAATTTTTCACATCAATCTTTACGTTAGGTGTCTTTTTTGAGTTTGCAGAATTTGGTGGATTAATGAGCATACCTCTCTTCAAAGCATTTAAATACTTGTAGCATCTCGGTCTTATGTGGCTAGGTATACCGCAGTAATAGCATGTGCAGACAAACCTTCTATGTCGAGGGGATGAGATAGTAACCTTGTTACTGGTGGAAGTCGGAGGCTTAGGGACAGGTGTCTTCTTCACAAACACTGTTTTGGACATTGAGCTCTCACCAGTATAGCCAAGGCCATGTCGATCACCACTCGCTTTTCCAATCGAGAGAAAGTAATCCAGTTTTATGGTGCCAGAATTCATCATCTTCAATGACTTTTGTCTCCTACAACTTTTTCTCCTTTTCAACAACCTAAAATTCATAGTTCACAGCAGCCCTCTTAAACACATCATTCTCTTTGATAAGCTCATCAACTTGCTCCCACAAAGACTAATTCATTTTAACCACCAAAATCTATTTGTTGAACATGGTTTCATATGCCTCCTAGATTGTTTCCTCAGTCAGTTCTTCACCATCGCTGGAATCATCAGAATCTGAAAAATCTCCATTTTCTTCTGATTTTTCTGAGGGTGTTAGAAATTATGTTCTAACATGGGCTGTGACACGATCTATAATACTGCAGTTTGGAACATCTTGGTAGACATTAAATGCAACATAGTTGATCACATGATCACCTGGCTGCCTTTAGAATTCTCATCACTCCATGTGACGTTGAGAGACTTCTTCCTCTTCTTGAGAGTGTTAGCACATTCAGACTGAATGTGACCGTAACCGTCGCACTCCCGGCATTGAATTTCCCCATTCTTCTTCTTATCATTGGAGGAATTTGTAGCTCCCTTATTTTTCTGAAAATTATTGGAGTTGTTGAAAATTGGAGTTTGGTTCTTCTCGTTGAACTTCTTCATCACCCTGTTGAAATTTTTAGTCAATCGAGCAAGAGGCTCCGCTAAGCCTTCATCTTCTTCTTCAACATTATCTTCCACTTTGGCTTGGAAAGCAATCCCCTGAGAAATCTCATTTTCCTTCTTATTTTGACTCAGATTCATTTCAAATGTCCTCAGTGATCCCATCAATTCATCAAGTCTCATAGTCTCAGTGTTTTTCGCCTCTTCAATAGCAGTGACTTTGTAGGCGAATCTCTGTGGTAAATATCTTAACGTCTTACTGACAAGTTTTGCCTCGATAATTTTTTCACCAAGAGCAAAGGATTCATTAGATATATCACACAACCATGAATTAAATTCAGAAATAGTTTCACTTTCATGCATTCAAAGATTTTCAAACCTTGTTGTGAGAATATTCAATTTGGATTGTCTGACGGCGGCGGTTCCCTCGTGAGCAATCTCTAAAATCTCTCATGCTTCTTTTGCCGATTCACATGTAGATATCATCTTGAACTAGTTGATGTCGACTCCATTGAATGTTGCATTGAGAGCACGAGAGTTCTAGATGGCCAATCTCTCTTCATCTGTACTCCATGACTCTTCGAGCTTGAGAGTCTCTTTTCTTTCTGCATCTTTAGTTACCGGAGTTCAGAACAACACGCCAGGCCTTCTCATCTTGAGCCTTGATGAAAGCCTTCATCTGGGCCTTCCAGTATGAATAATTTGAGCTATCAAACAGAGGGGGACGTACAACTGAACCTCCTTCCTTTAGAAAATCCATTCAAAACATAACAGATCAACTCTCCAAGATCTCACAGAACTTATGGTCAGTGAACTGCTCTGATACCACTTGTTAGATATGATGTTGCATATGGTGTTCCAGAAGATGTTGGAACACTGTTTGGAATACAGCTTAATTAATTAAGATCTGGGTTAATTACATACAGTTGCTCGAGCAGAATAAAGTGCAGAAAGTAAATGAACACACAATATGATATCATAGTTCAGCGCGCACACCTCTGTAGGGCCACGCCTAGACAATAAACAGTTCACTATGTTCTAGAAATTACAGACACTGGACGGACTTACTCACTTAAGCACTCCCTTATAGACAATGACGCCATTGTGACGAATCTCCACAGTGATTGTTTAGCGTGCACCACACGTCTTCTATTCACTTGACGAACTCACATCGACCGACAGAGCTTCCTCCTGAAAGTAACAAATCCCTCTCCCGCATAAAATATTTGCAATATCTCTGCAAAGAGGCCATTACTCGTGACTGCAGCCTACTCTTTCGCATTCGCAATTTCAAGCCCGGTCGGAGTAGGCATTGGCATCGCCATTGACGCCACAACTCAAGGAGCTGTCGCCGATTGGATATATGCCATCTCAATGGGACTCGCTTGTGGGGTCTTTATCTATGTTAACCATCGTATTGCCAAAGGTTTTAAGCCCCAATCCAAATGCCATTTCGACACACCCTTCTTCAAGTTTCTTGCCGTTCTTCTTGGGGTTGGAGTTATTGCCGTTGTTTTGATATGGGATTGATTGTATTCTAATTAAGAAAATCTTTTGTTTATTACTTAAGTCTGTATGTAATTACATGTAGTAAGGATGAGATGGATAATACATCATACATGTTTCCCAAAACTTAAGGACAATGTTTGAGTAGTATGACTCATTTTCCCTTCTCTAATTTTTTTTTATTTTTTTATTTTTAAAGATAGCTTTTGGATGTTTCCAATCTTAGATTGTTGCTTCACGTTTTGGTTAAAGATAGTTCATAGGTTCAAGGGTAGTTTTGTCTAAACACGGTTAATTTCATTCTATCCTAAATTCATTCCATAACTCCAATTAAATAAAAAAAATTAGTGTTTGTTTCCAATACATTTCTATTTCATTCCATTCTCATTACTATTACCATTAGTATTATCATTCTGCCACTGTAGCCAAACGCACCCTAAGTTTTCTCTCTCTCTTTATATCATTTATTTATTTATGTTTAAGGTGTATGACTTAACACATTTCGTCCTGGCCAAACAATGCTTTGGGGTTGACTCAATTAATTCCCAAAAGAAAGCGAATGTTTTTTTTTTTTAATTGATTTTCTTCTATTTATTAACATGTAATAAATGACCATGGTCCATGGGCGACAAGCGGACTAGGTAGTTCCACATCTCTATATATTAAGGAAAAAGACATGAGAGCTCATCTATGAATGATCATTTTTCGGATGAACAATTGCAAAGACCACTTCTATATAATTATTCGTTCGATTTTGATTTGTGGTGTGATTCAGCTGGGGTAGAGAACAACATATCGTAACAAAGCTGCATTGAGCTCCCCGGCTCTCCCTAAACTAGTTGTGTAGTACAATTACTACAATCCTCTAAAGTCAGACTTGTACTGCAAAGACAAAATTGGAAATGCAAATTTAAATTAATTATGTTACACCTATTTTTGTGAAACGGACATTACTAATCCTTAACTTAGACCAGACAAACAAACACCAATCCTACACCACCGGAACCAATTAACTTAGTAAGTTTCAATGGCCACCATGACTCTCAAGTCAACCTCTTTTGTCCTATCTCTGCTTCTGTTGCTGCAAGCCTTCCTAGTCAACGGCCACGGAGGCGATCATGACGACGACGAGGGCACCGGCGACCACGTAGACTTGCACAACAAAGGATTGATTCTGGTGAAGTTATGGTGTTTGATCATTCTGTTGGTGAGCACCTTCGCGGGTGGCGTGTCGCCATACTTCCTCCGATGGAACGAGAGCTTTCTTCTCCTCGGCACGCAATTTGCGGGCGGGGTCTTTCTAGGAACTTCTTTGATGCATTTCTTGAGCGATTCGAATGAGACTTTCGGCGACCTCACCCACAAAACATACCCTTTCGCCTTCATGCTTGCGTCGTCCGGTTATCTCCTGACCAAGCTTGGAGACACCATAATTATCTTGGTGACCAAGTCTAGTGATAGAGAAGCAAGAGTGGAAACTGAAGAAGGAACAAGTAGTGATCATGAAAAAGCGGCAGGCACGGACGTGTCGCCGCTTTTTATGAGGACGACATCTTTAGGGGACACCATACTTCTCATCCACGCACTCTGCTTTCATTCTGTTTTTGAGGGCATTGCCATTGGAATTGCAGGTAATGACATGAATAATATTTTGCATTATTGATCTTCTTGTTTAGGTTCTGGTTTCCTAGGATTTTGCATTGTTGAAATAATTTGAAAATTATATCCCTTTTGGTGTTCTCAATCTAGACCTGGTGCACTCATGTTTTAGCATGTCATCATACAATGCTTTCTTGTAGTATAATTATTTGTCTTTTGCCCTTTAAACTACCGGTCTACTCGTATACGATTATCTCAATATTACTCAAAACCTACTTCTTTTAAGTTACTATTTGTCGGCCTCTTATATATATATATATATATATATAACTTTAAAAGGTATTTTATAGCTATAAAAAATTTGACACGTCTGCGTGAGGTTAAAACCTGGTCATGACAAATAGAAATGCTCGTCGAACATAATAGTTTAACAACCTTTTAACTTAGTCCTCTGACTCTCACTAATATTGTCTTGAGCTTATCTATTCAAGTTAGCATCCTTTTGTCTTTTCATTTTAGTGGCCTCTATTACATCATCCGCCAAATAAGTTTGGTTGCCCACTATTTAATTGGCAGTTTTCTTTTCGTACCAACAACCTTTGTTCTGTTGAGGATCTTGTCGTTCAGCTTTTCTTAAAAAATTTCCCCTTTTTGAAAGGAAAAAAAAAAGAGGAAATCCTAGTTTTCATGTTCTACTAAATGACACGTTTATTTTTTATTATGTCACAAAATTTTACATCTTTGTTCATGTATATATAATATGATCTAAAAAAACGGAGGGGCTCCAATTTTCAGAAAATAAAACTTTTCAGATTAAAGAAACTAATTAAAGAGCCATATGGTTGAAACTAGAAAACACATCACATGATTATGCTGCATCTTTGTATTACTCATGGTTCTTGAGCTGATGAATGTACACAATTAATCATTAGCACTCCTACTAATTCTCACCAAATATATATGAATTGTGGTGCATATCCTTTTGGTCAGATAACAAGGCAGAAGCATGGAGGAATCTGTGGACAATATCTCTGCACAAAATATTTGCAGCCATAGCAATGGGCATTGCGCTGCTGAGGATGCTACCAAAGAGGCCATTACAAGTGACTGCAGCCTACTCTTTCGCGTTCGCAATTTCAAGCCCGGTCGGAGTAGGCATTGGCATCGCCATTGACTCCACAACTCAAGGAGCTGTAGCCGATTGGATATATGCCATCTCAATGGGACTCGCTTGTGGGATCTTTATCTATGTTGCCATTAACCATCTTATTGCCAAAGGTTTTAAGCCCCAATCCAAATGCCATTTCGACACACCCTTCTTCAAGTTTCTTGCCGTTCTTCTTGGGGTTGGAGTTATTGCCGTTGTTATGATATGGGATTAATTGTATTCTAATTAAGAAAATCTTTTGTTTATTACTTAAGTCTGTGTGTAATTACATGTATTAAGGATGAGATGGATAATACATCACACACGTTTCCCAAAACTTAAAGACAATGTTTGAGTAGTATGAATCATTTTCCTTTCTCTCTAATCTTCTTTTTTTTTTATTGGCCATTAAGATAAGTCAACTTATCTGTTCGTATAACATAGAGCTGTTTAATTTTGGTCAAGAACTAATATTGTAGATATATCTAGGAATATGACAATTGTAGTTCTTTTATATGCATCTTCTTACTTTGGTGCAAAAAGAATGTGTTGCTTTTAAGCTATTAGGGCTCTCTAAACATACGTGCCTGTTGGGTGTATAAATAATGATTTATCTCCTATCAATTAGAATTCTTGAATTCATCATTCCAAGAATATAGGACTCTTATTAAACCTATAATATGGTGCATTTGCCATCCCTTGGTCTTGAATCCAGCCTTTTGTGTCCTTTGAAGCTTCTAATTCGTTGGTTGCTACATGTAGCTAGCGACCTTGTTATAACAAAAGTTAAGGTAAGGTATTGAGAGAGAGAGAGAGAGAGAGAGAGAGAGAGAGAGAGAGAGAGAGAACCCTCGTGTCAAATTAACCGATTTAATTAGTTAAGGTAAGGTATTGAGAGAGATGAGATTGTTAATGGCCGTAGATAAGACTAGATAAGATTTTACCTAAAAAGAAAAAAAAAATATATACTTGCTAAGATTCGTTTTAATTTACCATTTTCCAATCTTAGATTCTAGGGTTTGCAAATATATACTGGAAATTAAAGGGTAAAAATAGCTTTTGGATGTGAAGATTAATGGACAAAAGAGGCTCCCAAGTACTATACGATGAAGGTATATTTTTTATTAGAGTAGAGTAATCTATAGTTAATAAATGCCTTCCCACCTTAAGGATTTCTAGTTATACATGCTCTTTTGACCTCCCTTGTATCCACAATCAGATCGATCTCACGACAAATCGAACACTAGATATAGTCTCCAGGGAAAAAAACAAAAACAAAACTAGATGGTGGCATACCAATGCAATACATCCATGCCTAAAAAATTTTGAACGTTCACTACATGACAAGTTGGTAAGACGTCTAGTATTGTAGAGTATGAGTATCCAACAAGGTCTGTAGTTGGTGCGGCCACAAGTTTGGTATGGTTAAAAAAATGTATATATATAATATTTTTATACTTACATATATAAGGAAATTTCTCTAATAAGATTAAAAAAATGAATTATTAGTAATTTTTTACTTTTCAACCATAATATATATATTATAAATTATATGTTCTACATACTTTTTAAATATAATGTGATTTGACCGGATCTAATAATTAAAAACTAGTAAAATTGCGGACCAACTATAATAGAAACTAGTGGCCTTATTGAAGAAATATAATATGTATTGAGGAAGTAAAATTGCTTTAGGAGTCCATTCCAATACATTTCATCTGACGTATCTTGCGTGTTGACTTTCCATTTAAGGTTCTCCGATTAATTTATTTTTCTCCAAAGTCCCAAAACGGAATGTTCTGTAACTTACCTATATATAGTTTGGTTCACCTTCAAAATGAAAACACACTCTAGTTAGTGTAGTTCGGTTTAAGAGTAAAACTAGTACGACGAATGACCAAATCTGTTGTTAACGTCATGATTTGTTTTTTTGCTTGAAAGATAGTCGTGATTGGGTCAAACGTCCTTCTCTTGATTGGCAATTTGATATTCTCTACGACATTGTATTGTTTGGGAGGAATGCCAAAATCATTAGCTAATTAGGCATACCCCAGTGGGTCATTTCATGAAAAACATAATAATAACCAACGTAAAATCGACTTAACTAAGTAGCACTTCCAGTTGAAGATCTATAATATGCACGAATTAGCTAGCTTGGAATTTAGGAAAGATGTTACCTTAATTTGTCTCATCTTGTCTTCTCCATTAAGCTAACGGTTTCATAATTATGATTGCCTAACTCTTTATTTTATTATATTTAACAGAAAGTTCGGTACTTAATTCCGGGTATTCAATTGATTTGGTCACCATTATGCATGGCTACATTTTGTCCTCTATTTTAATTACGTGCCTTCAAATTTGAGTTATCTAAAGTGATCTCTTAAGGCCAAATTTTGAGGAAATAGTTTTATAAACACTTTCCACAATTTAAAGTTATATTTATAAACCCTTAACTTTAATTTGTCGGTGTAATAAGTAACTAACGTTTCTCATAGAAATTATTGAGGAAAAGTCTTAATTTCCAACAAATTAAATGACTTTTGAAAAGAAGTAATGATAATCCACTAGCTAATATTTTAGAGCAACTGTCCATAACCATAAAGGTAGATAATAATTTAATGTAAATATCATAAATTAATTACTTTGATGATACTCTACAGTAAAACATATGGGACCAATGAAGTGGATATGACAAAGGATATAGTAGGTGATTGATCCCTTCTATCTCAAGCCCTAAAATTATCAAATTTGTCACCTAATCAATCAACAAAAAAGACGTCCTAGAACTTCTATATAAACGATCCTAAGAGGACATGTTGGAGCACCACCCCAAAGCTCAAAAAACACATTATTCAAAAAAAGTTTTGCCATATTTTCATTCCCTCCACAATTATATTTCATATATATATATATATATATATATATATATATTAGCAGTACCGTACTATCACATAGTACATTCCCTAAATGGGCGCTTCTCTTCCTTCATCAATGCCACATATTGTGGCTTTTCTATTTGCTCTGATCATCTCTTTTTTGGCCTTTTCTCATGCAGGCGTCACCAGGCACTATAAATTTGATGTACGTTCTATATTTAAAGTGTCCTACTTTAGCTTGTTTATTTCGGTAGACTCATGAGTAATTTTTTTAATAACAAGACGAGATGAAACTCGCAACCTCCTCCTGAAACTCCACAGCACTGTGCCACGAGGGAAAATTTGCATGTTTCTGAAATATAATTTGTGTGCGCGCAGATAACGTTGAAAAATGTCACCCGGTTGTGCCACAGTAAGAGCATTGTGACGGTTAATGGCCGATTCCCAGGGCCTCGCATCGTCGCTAGAGAGGGAGATAGGGTTCTGATTAAGGTCGTCAACCACGTTCCAAACAACATCACCATCCATTGGTACGTCAAATTCAAAACCCTCTTTTAGTTTTCCCTTTCTGCTTAATGCTGCTATTTTGAAGTGCACTAATCTAATCAAAAAGTTTTCTTTTAAATGTTCATTAGTCTCTCATCATAACCTAATTTGGAAAAGTTGAGTAAAGCTGGCCACGAATAAATATATAATGACTAAACATAGTAATGTGAGAAAAAAGTTAATCAAAAAACACTCCTTGGATAATTCATATACAAAGCAAAAAGAACCGCAGTAGTTCAAAGCAATATTCACTCTTCCATCCATCCAATCTCCTGATCTCCAATGATTTTCATCAATTAATTAATTAATGGCTCAATAAAAAGTGTGACTTTTTAATTTTGGAGAACTTGTCGTATCCAATGTATAATATATAATAATCTTGTATTGGTATGTAATCTCATTAACATGAAGGCCCCGTTCATTTTACCGAATCGAGTTTATAATTCGAGTTTTGCTACAATAAAAAACTCTTATAAACAGTCACATATAACTTTTTATTACAATAAAAAACTCTCACATAAAGTCACATCTCAACTCGAATTAAAACTTGAACAACGAATTAAACGGGTCCTAATTCTTTAGCTTGTCTTCAAAGAAAAAGATCCTTTGACATTTCCACACAAAAAGAAAAAAAAATAAAGAAAAAGAGATCCTTTGACAAATATGTTAATTAGTTTGTGTTACTTTCTTTGTGAATTGACCTAGGCATGGCATTAGACAACTACAAAGTGGATGGGCAGACGGGCCATCCTATATAACACAATGTCCAATTCAAACTGGTCAGAGCTATGTGTACAACTTCACCATTATTGGCCAAAGAGGAACTCTTTGGTGGCACGCTCACATCTCATGGTTAAGAGCTACTGTTTATGGACCTTTTGTTATCCTTCCCAGGAGGAATGAATCCTACCCTTTTCTCAAACCCCACAAAGAAGTTCCCATCATTTTTGGTAAATAAACTTTTATCACCAATATTTTTATTTTATTTTATTTTTTATTATTGTGTTAGGAGTCAAAACGTTAAAATGCAAGATTTTGTTTGTTAACTTATTTATGTTTCAACAAAAGTTAATAAATACGACCAAATGGCAAAATATGTAGGTGAGTGGTGGAATGCGGATACAGAAGCTGTTATCAAGCAGGCCCTTCAGACAGGAGCGGGCCCAAATGTATCTGATGCCTACACAATCAATGGACTTCCGGGGCCATTGTACAATTGTTCACAAAAGGGTATATATCACAGAAAGTTTAATTTTTTTTTTTTTTTTTTAAAGAATGCATTGACAAAAAAAGTGTGAATAGTAATTATAGTTTGAGCCCGTGAAACAAACGGACTAAAAAGAAAATATTCAATTTCCTTCATGCAAAGACAAGTGTCTTATAAGTTGTAACTTGTAACATGAGATTAGAAGCCATAAAAAAAAAAAAAAAAAAAAAAAAAGATTTTAATTCCTCTAACAAAAGTGATCCCAAAACCTGTAAATAATAATTAATTTGCTTATGTTATATATTCATTAATTGTGGTTAATTTGCAGAGACATTTAAACTAAAGGTGAAGCCAGGAAAGACCTATCTCCTCCGTTTGATCAACGCTGCACTCAACGACGACCTCTTCTTCAGCATCGCAAACCACACCCTAACCGTCGTCGAAGCCGACGCAGTTTACGTCAAGCCTTTTCAGTCCAACATTGTGCTCATCAATCCGGGACAGACCACCAACGTAGTCTTAAAAACCAAAAAACACTCACCAAACGCCTCTTTCTTCATGTTAGCCAGACCATACTCCACAGCCGCCTCCGGAACCTTCGCCAACACCACCGTCGCCGGGGTTCTCGAGTACGAAAATCCCGCAATAAAATCTTCCAAAAACCTTCCAATTCTCAGACTAAGTCTCCCACAAATCAACGACACTTCCTTCGCCTCAAACTTCAGTAACAAGTTCCGGAGTTTGGCCACCGCTAAGTTCCCCGCAAACGTGCCTCAGACAGTTCAAAAGCACTTCTTCTTCACAGTCGGCCTCGGTACCAATCCTTGCCCTAAAAACCAGACATGTCAAGGACCAACAAACAGCTCAAAGTTTGCAGCTTCCGTCAACAACGTTTCCTTCATTATGCCCTCCGTTGCACTTCTCCAAACTCATTTTTTTAAGAAATCAAACGGGGTTTTCACCACCGATTTTCCGAGCTTTCCGCTCGTTCAGTTCAACTACACCGGGACGCCGCCGAACAACACGAACGTGAGCAATGGCACAAAAGTGGTGGTGTTGAAGTACAACACTAGTGTGGAGTTGGTTTTTCAGGACACTGGTATTCTTGGTGCTGAGAGTCACCCTCTTCATTTGCATGGCTTCAACTTCTTTGTTGTGGGACAAGGTTTTGGAAACTTTGATCCTAACAAAGACCCCGCTAAGTTCAATCTCGTCGACCCTGTTGAGAGGAACACTATTGGTGTGCCCTCCGGTGGTTGGGCGGCCATTCGGTTCCTCGCAGACAACCCTGGTGAGTAGTCTTGAGTTATGATACTATCATATCACAGCGTGTGATTTTATAAGAAATTTTATTTCTAAATTTGTATGATGAAAATTTATTTTCTGATTTAAATGTAGGTGTTTGGTTTATGCATTGCCACTTTGATGTGCATTTGAGCTGGGGTCTAAGGATGGCGTGGATTGTCCAAGATGGGAAGCTCCCTAATCAGAAGCTGCCTCCTCCACCGTCGGATCTTCCCAAGTGTTGACGTTTGACTCGGTCAACGAAGGACCTTTTTTTTTCCTTTCCTTTCTAACTTATTCACGTGTTGTTTGGTTGCAACTTTTTCCGTGATTTTGTTTTCCCTTTGCTTCCACAATATATTACAGAGACTGCACGTGGAATTGATCGGCGAAATCTTTTTCCAGAGTGCTCCAATTTAATTGTAATTGGAGGGAATAAAATGTTATCTGAGGAGATTGTGTTATATAGCCGGCATGAATAACAGAAAGATGTTTTAATTTGATAATAAAATAATAAGAAGAAATTCAAGAAAGCAAATGATTCTCTCTTTTTCTCTGGACTTAATATTTGTTTACTCATTTTCTTGCCCCATATTCGTCAATCTATTTTTTTTTCCAACATATGATGACATATTAACAATACTACATTATTAGTTTATGCACTTATAAATGTTTCAATCTTAGATCTTGTGTGATTTGATCTTATGTTATTACAGTACAGTTTGAAAATTTAAGTTCTATAGTTCCAAATATCATGTCAAAAGTTAATAATTACTTATTTTTCTTAAATTTCTACTGCAGTCATTAGCCCCCTAACAAAAAATCCTAGCTTAGTCACTGGCTACATTTACCTAAAAGGGTTACCGAGTCAAAATACCATGGAAAGTCTTTTGAACAAGGATAAATAAGGTTTAAATAAGGTTTCTCGTTTGAATTATAACGGAGAGGATTTTGCTTTGGCGTTGAGACAAGTGAAAATTTACCTCAATTACACCAAAAAAGGTTTCTTTTTTCTCCAACTCTTTTTAATACATGAGGACCAAGATAGATTAGAGGAGAGAGAGAGGAGAGAAGAATAAAAACTTACAGAGAAGAGAGAACGGTAAGGGAATAAATCCGTATAATATTCAATAATGTTCATCGTGATTTAAAGTGAAAAATAAAAATACTAGATATATTTATGCCTTACACAAGTGCGTAATTTACAATAATTTACGATCTTCACCATTTTTAGTACTTTTCTCCGAGGCGGCATTATAGGCGTGGTTTTACATGACACAATATGAGTTGCGGGAACGGTAAGGGAATAAATCCGTATAATATTCAATAATGTTCATCGTGATTTAAAGTGAAAAATAAAAATACTAGATATATTTATGCCTTACACAAGTGCGTAATTTACAATAATTTACGATCTTCACCATTTTTAGTACTTTTCTCCGAGGCGGCATTATAGGCGTGGTTTTACATGACACAATATGAGTAGAGAGAGAGAAGAGAGAGAGAGAGAGAGAGAGAGAGAAGCCACGTTAGTTGCTGGTGTTACTGATGTCAGTTCTAGGTAACGTTAAACTCCAGCTCTTTTTTCTCAAAGAGGAAAGGAAAAGGTGGCTTCCATTTCCAATGCAGATCCATATTTCTGCCCAATGTCTTATTATATTGCCACTTTCCACTAACATCTCAGAGGAATCTCCCCCTCATCAACTCATTAATTTAACAAAAAATAAAAAATAAATAAATAAACAGTGAATTCTATAATATCAAACATCATTTTTTTTTTGAGTTTAACAATTTCAAGCAAATAATATAACACAAGTACCATATATGCATCAAAAGATCACCCATATTGATCCGATGTTAAAATTAATCTATCTTGATCATATATATGTCGATTTATCTTCTTACAAATGTGTAAAACTTGTAGCTCATCTAAAATCCTACTTACAAAGTACTACTGATGATCACCATTCCAACGCAAAAAGTTCCCAAAAAAGGGGGAAAAAAAACTACAAAAAGTCTCAAGATAAGTTTCTCAACATTATTATCTTCTTGATCAGATGGTAGAAAATTTTACGAGTTCCAAATTACAAACCCAAATACCGGCCATCTCTCAAGAACATGAAACAAAAGCAGAGTCTCAAGAACAGAGCAGATTAAAAAGAAAAAATAAATAAAAAAATAAGAAAAAAAAGGAGAAGTTTTTGTGTATTATTCTCTAGAATCACCATGTTTGTGCCAGCAAACAAGCATGGCGACGCATCGCCTCATGATGTAAAACCTGGCCTTGTGTTCCTTAGCGAGGCTGCTACACTTGCGACCGATGGAGGAGTTTTTCTGCGAAAAACTCCGGGGAAGATCGGCGCACTTGGAATTATTATTGTTATTAGACGATGAGCTCTTCTGCGAGAAGCTTCGCAGAAGAGGAGACTTGGAAGATGAGCTTCTCGTTGAGCTACTTCTTGTGAAGCCAAACTTTGAAGAAGAGGAAGAAGAAGAAGAAGAAGAACATGAATATTGGCTAGTTGAAGTAGTAATGCTGCCGATCATCAAGTCCTTCTTCGATGGCTTCCATTTCTCATCCATGTACGTAATATACTCGATCTTGTAGAGTGGATCTTTCTCTTCTCTTCTCTTCTCTGCGATTGATCAACTTGTTAGTTTGTTCTGATTTTCAAATGCGTTTATTGTTATGAGTGTGTGAAAGAGATAGGAAGAGAGAATGTGTGTGTGTGTGATAGAGAAAGATATGATTGAGAATGGGACAGTAGTATGAGGTAGGGTAATGTTGCTATTACACACACACACACACATATATATATATCTGTGTGTGTGTGCGCGCGCAGTAGTAGTAGTAGCAGCGAACTTAGCAGTAGTTGAGTGAGTGAGAGTCTTGAGTGTTATAGTGGTGATAGATAGTTTTTCTACTTTTTACCTATTTATTGTACAAAACACCACCCCCGAAGTTGTCATGTAAAGCTATTTGTTTATATAATAACCGTGAGATCTTAATTAATCAACATGTAAGGATAATATTAGGTAAATAGTTAAAGGCATGGCCAAAAATATTATTTTTAATATTAGAGCACAGTGTCAAAAAGAGAGAATTTTTATTAGATGGAGACAAGATCGTGTTTTTATTATTGTAAGAATATAATTATATTTTTTTTCTTAACTAATGAAAGAATACAACTGAAATTTTAAAGAAATTTGCAAGTCTAAGAATCAAAATTCTAAAATTGATAAGTGCCGGCACATGCTCGTGGTTTCCGCCGCGGTTAATAGTAAAGCACACACACACACACACATATATATATATATATATATTTATATAATATTAGTCATGCACAATACATGAAATCAATTTACAAATATTGCAAGCGAATCCTATTTTACTGCCTCAATGGCATTATATTTCCTTGTCTCGTTGGCAGGCATTGGTAAATATGATCATTTTGTGATTCTTAAACCTTCTTGAAAATATCCCCCTTTTTTTTTTCATTTCCATTTTGGAAAACTCCATTCTTGTACGGTTCTCCATTATAAAAAAAAATATTGGTTTAAAATCCACAAGAAAACACAATCCTAGAGGGAAAAAAAAAATAAAAATAAATAAGAGGAGGGATGGGAGAGTGTTGTGGTCAAGAGACAAGAGTTAGCTGGTTCTCATGTGATGTGAAGGGTTGTACCCCATCCTTCTGCAAATAGGGAGGGTGAGATGTATTGGGTTTCTATTCAAAATATATTGGTGTCTTCGATTTTGGTGGATCACACTATGGATTTTATATCTTCATAAACCTTGATCACAACCAAACACTAAATTGTATGTATATTAACACGTATTATATACAACAATATATAATTTGTCATTTTTTCTATTTATTGTTAACCGTTTGCTAAATCTGGTTGTAAAATGATAAATACTTACCCCGTGATTAGTTAGTGTTAAAAGGCTGGTGCACGGGATGAGATCTCTAACCTTGTTTATTTTAAATTCAATCAATTTTCTTAAATATTTGATCATACTTTTAGATCCTTATATATTCTCCACCCAAATTGCGTGCTTTATTTCAAACTCAACTACTTTCTAGGGTTTTGACTACCTAGGGTACTATGAAGTATGAACATAATCTAGAAGGTTAGACAGTCGTTCAACTTTTTCGTACAAGGGAAAAAATAAAAAAATAAAAAATAAACTCTTCTGTAATGTTAAACCCTGTGGCACATGAGTATGATATATGACAACTTTAATTAACCACAAATCTCTGTAGAAAAATAAATAAACTTAGGTTTCGTTCGTTTCGCTGATTCGAGTTTATAATTTGAGTTTTGCTACAGTAAAAAGCTCTCACAAACAATCACATATAACTTTTTTACTACAGTAAAAAGCTCTCGCATACAATCACATCTCAACTCGAATTCTAAACTCGAATCAGCGAAACGAACGAGACCTAACTATATAAGAGGTTTGGATTCTCATGCACATGCAAGCGTCAGGATCACTAGCCAAAGTTGGAAATTAAGGTTGTCTACATATTATAAATTATTCGGATTAAGGTACAATCTTCATGTTAGAGAATTTCATTAGGGTGCAATTGAACCACGCATGTGCTAAAATTGATAAGTATCACGCCTCTTATGAGGTGTTTGGTTAGACTGAAAATATTGGTATATATGTATATAATTGGGAGATTTGCTGACGAGAAACTGATCTTTGCATGGTTTAAACAGGTGATAACTTTGATTAGTGGGTTTCGTTTTGTTTCCTTGGTGGTACTCATGGAGAACCCTTATCTTTTCGCTTTACAATTGTCAATCATAAACAATATATGTTATTAATTAACAAGAAAATATTCTCTTAATAACACTTTCTCTTAGTCCTTTTCTTGACGAGTCAAAAACATCCAAAGGCATCAGATCAAATAAAGCTGAAATCCTTTGACCAATGATTATAGTCTTGTAGTTCTTATCTCAAATTTTACGTTTAAATTTTTTTTTTTTTTTTTTTTTAAAACGAAGAAAAGTAGAAAAGGTAAAGGGGGAAAAATGTGCGGAATCTTCAACTAGGAAAGGTAAACAATTTTTGGTGGAAAGATTATTGAAGTAGCCAAAATTTCTAGTAACATAAACGTTATATTTGTACTTGTTGACAGTAGATACCACGCAAACCCTCGTGAGAAAAGTACACACAAAAACTAATTTATTAATCTGGTTCATACATATATAATGTGAACAAAATTACCAGTTAGCTACTTCGTTTGGGAAAACACTACAAATTCCATGTGAACCCAACGGAACATTTGAATCATTGTTAAAAGAATATTTGACCAGCAGCTAGGAGAATAATTGGGCCAACATTAATTGGAAAGGCAGTAATTACACTACAACAAAAAAAGGCCATTTGCGACGAGATTTTTTACGACGATATTTATCGTCGCAAATAATAAAATCTTTACGACAACATGTCGTCGTAATTACTCCCCGTTTAAAAAAATAACCATGTCGTCGCTAATAACTTAAATGTCGTCGCAAATAATTTTAGAGCACAAATTTTAATGACGCGGATTTTTGCCGCCAAGGTAATCCATTTTTTGCGACGACATTTTTCCTTTATTTACGACGACTAATTTCATGTTATTTGCGATGACTTTTTTAGACTTGTCGTCGCTAAAAAATAAGAGTATTTGCGACGACAATTTGAAATGTCGTCGCAAAAAATGATCATATGACGAGAATTTTATAACGACGTATTAGCGACACCTGTCGTCGTAAATACAAAGTGTCGTCAGAAATACATTTGCGACGACACTATGTTGTCGCAAAAAACGTTTTTACGATCAATTTTTTGCGCCGACAAATTTGCGACGACTTGTCGTCGTAAAAAACTTTATTTGCGACGACTTTTTATCGTCGTAAAAACCCATTTTTCTTGTTGTGTTAATTATGCTAATTTACACCGCAGGTGAATTATTTATACATAAAGAGCATAAAATAAACTAATTATAGGAGAGGAAACATGTGCTCTAAAAGATGCTGGTAGGCTAAAAACGATTTTGGTAAAGTTTATGAGAATAATAATAACATCCCAATTTTGAAGTTTCAAAAAACTGCCCATGATCTAGAATCCCACGAAATTTGATTGGTCAAACGGATTTGGCAATGGGTCAAAATAATGTCACATGGCATGTTGAGGATGGTATACAATGCACCTATTTTTTAAAAAAATTCCTTTTAAGCCCGTAACATTATTACTAGTACTGTTATTATTATAATTATTTTGTTTGGTTTGAAGGAAAATTTGTGTGATTGTTCATGTGGGGTTGAGAATAAGAGCATTGGGGAGTCCCACATGCTAACATGTGAAGCTGCAAAAGGAGAAAGGACAGGAGAGGGTGACCCTTATAAATCGTGGACCCTTGTACTCTACTCAAACCAGAACAGCTTGATCCTTCCTTTAATTTTTGTGTTATTTGGTCCGTTAATTTAGACTAGAAAAAAAACTTGGAAATAGCGAGAGAAAGGACAGGTGAGTCTACAGTCTTCACGTTTCACATTGTTCGGTATATATCTATATATCTATATATGTGTGTGTGTACCCCCAAAACATTGCTGTGTGGAGACAAGCTTGTCAGAATGAAGTTTGAATTAAATCTCCCTTTATAAATTATATCCCAAATTTCTATATATTATCATAATCACCTAATTACATATGAACATATATATTATATACATGGGTGCGTTTGTGATATGACACAGTTAATCAACTTATACCCTTTTAATTTAACCAATTCGAGTTTTATTAAGTAAAGAGCTCTTAAAAACCGTCATATTTAATTTTTTTACTACAGTAAAAAACTCTCACATAAAGTCACATCTTAATTCGAATTAAAAACTTACAACAGCAAACTAAACCGACCCTTAAAAACACATATCATACAAAAGTGGTCAAACAGATTACTTGTTTATTAGGTATAAGCATTATTGAGAAGAGTTAATTGGACAGTCCAATTGAGAAAAGTAAAGGGCCCAGCTTATACATCGCAAATTGGACGCATGAGAAGGCGCTGGAGCTGGCTCGTACGTTAATTTGGGCCTAGCTTACAAGGCTTTCGTTCAATTATTGTACTAATTTTTTTTGCTGAATCAATTATTGCACACATCACTCCAATCCGTTTATTTTGTTAATTTAAGTTTTTAATTTAAGTTAAAATGTGACTTTATATAAGAATTTTTTATTATAATAAAAAAATTAAATATAATTATTTCTAAAATTTTTTTACTATAATAAAACTCGAATCAGTAAAATAAACGTGCTCCAGCTCGCTCAATTCTCTCCTCTTCACATATATATTCGAAGTTAGAACCGAACAAAAAGTACGTGTTGCATTTCTGCCGCAAATCATTGTACTTTTAATATGGTTACTATAGCATATATACGACTTGGTGCCTTACAACGTAAAGGTAATTAACATTCATGCAATAATCTTCTCAAATTTTTAACTTTGGCATGTCAACCGACTCAATTTTACTTGAAAGATAGGTCCAATTTTCACTCATGGCACCACATTATGTAACATTACACAACA